GAAAATATGGCAATTGAGGACACCATTCACCCAGCGGGAGAGATTGGAATCATGGATGCTGACAACACTGGCTAAATATTTTTGGTGTAGATAAATATAATCTTCAAGTTTGTATGCATTATTCACGCATTTAACCTCTCGTCTTCGTCATCCTCCAGAACTCTATTTATCTTGGTATTGAATATTTTGTCTCTGAATCCATTAAAATGGAATTACTTGAATTTTGTATGTCCAAACCTATACTCCGGAGTATACATTATCCGAAAGGCATAGCGTACGGATAATTGGCCCGTGACCATCCAAACCTATATAAGGTCCACGGTATTCGTTTCTAGTATGATCGGTCGTTGCCGAGTTGGGTACATTTAGCTAGTTTAGTGTTTTGCTTTGCTGGCCTGACGATCTTAACCTCACTTCTGACCCCTTGTTTATTTGTCTGGAGCGTCAACAAAGAATTCTTTAGTGAGTTGCGCTCTCGGACACCCTTTGTGTCCGAGCAAAAATCTGATCACATCTAATGAGGGCAGTCTCACATGAAAATGGTTCTTTTCATATTGGAATGGTTTTTCTCACAACAAAATAGACTTGACTGAAAACCACTCATATGTATCATGCTGTAGAGGTCCCCGACACTGGGAGAAATCCCAAAGGTCCTCGCTATTAAGAATTGACGCCATCGACTCATACTCCACTTCTCTGATGACCCTAACACTTGTGGGGCGCTCTCGGTCTCAGCCGAAGCCCTGGTCTCATGAACAAGGACCAAAATTCATAGCGCGTTTTAGCAAACTCCCGATTTTCACTCGGTAGAGCCTCAGCGACCTCGTTTGCAACAATATCGAGAAATACAACGCCGTGTGCCATGACGTGGTCAAGATTAACGTCGGGTTTTCCTTGAGCTCGTGATGCTGACCCTCAGTCGTTTCGTTCGTTAGGTGCATACCATCAAGACGAATGTTCATCCGTGGGACGACGTGGCAGCCAAGCTCGATCTGTTCACGCGGGAATATTCCGAGCTCATGAGGTACGTCGGCCATGCAAGTTCGTGTGAATATGGAACGTGACCTGCTTCGCTGATGCAGGTACGTAATGTATCTCCATCGCGTCGGCGAACTGCCAGTATACTTTGCCGACAAGTTTTTCCTGCACAAACCACCCAAGCGATCGCAGTCGCCGTACGGAGGCCCCTACGCTCGTCGTTGTACGTGTTTGCATGGGCAGCGAGAATAGACTGTCATCGGAAATCGCGACCCTGCTACATCGTCTAGACCTGGAACGTCACCGAAACGTTGTCGTTTGTAGCGAATGCAAGTCTTTTGCGAGTGTCGACGTCGCGCCAGACGCCGCCGTCGTCGTGTCCAAACTGCCGGATCTGCTCCTGAGCATGACGCCCGAGGTGCTGCATTTCAAACAAGCCCCACTCGCGTCATCCCCCACGGCGGACGAGAACAACCGACCACCATTGCGCCCCAACGACATCGTTGAATTGGCCTCGGCCGACCTATTTTTGAACAATGTGTCGCTCGTCCACCATCTCGTCGTCTACGTCATTGTTTCCAAGTCCATGCAAGTGCTGGGAAAATCCCTTGTGGCCGTTCCAGGGGACATCCAGCAGCGTAAGGGGTGTACCTTCCGCCTCAAGCCGGTGCGTGCAGCGCGCAGCCGCCGTCGTTTGGGTGATACTTGTCGTGATGAATTGGATGCACAAGTGGCAGCAAGAATACGTGTGCATCATATCGTCGTTGGCCGCACCGACAGTGTCATTCCGATTGACGTCGTCGATGACATGGGCTGGACACTGCTCAAGTATGCTTCGACATGGACATGGCACTGGCTCTGGGAGATGATGTTCCCGCGGTGGTGTGCAATCAAAGAACTCGACGAACAGAACAATATAAATGCATTATATGATCATTGCATGCTCGTTGCTACGCTTTCGTTTGTGGTACCGTTTCTTCTTGTAGGGAGAAATGCGGCGAATAGTCCGAATGAAGTCAACCGCAGGAAATTCACCAAGGGGTATCGC